AAAAACAAAGCTTCGTCATACACTAAATTATGGGGGAGTGACCAGGCTTGTGGTCTGAAGATAAATCGACCATTCTATGAGAGCATGAAACAAGGGAAAATATTTATCCAGAGAAAGCAGGGGAAACAAGCAGTGGGAAAATGCTCCCAATTTTACTAGTATGAAACAACCAAGGGGTGGAATATTCCATAGAAGGAGATAGGAGGAAATAACTGTTTCATGGATCAGGGGGATTGCTACTAGTGTGAGACACAAGGAGAAAGAAGAATGGAATATGTTTGGAGGGGAGTGAGTTTCAAGGGTGGGGAGTTTCTGGCTGGGAAATATGATTATCCATGTGGTCTGTGCTTGAGGGATTCATGAGTGGTGTCTTGATTTGTTTGAGGGTCTGGGGAGCTTTCTGGGGTGCCTTGATCCTGTGATTCCTGTGTGATTTGTATTCTTGCTGTGCTTGGATTTTCAGGATTGGCTTACCACACCGTTCTTTGGAACACTTCTCTGTCTGATGGGGACTTCAATTTGGCCTGCAGATATTTCTGTAATGAACCAATAAATTCAGGATGAGAAAAAACCTGAACTCTTACCATTACAAAATGCTGATTGATTGTATCTTCCTTCATTGGAAAATTCAGTTGCTCACAATAGCTGAAGATTGTTTTCAGATATGAGTAAGACAACATTGCTTTATTTTCTTCATCAAGAACTGTGATTGAAACACAAGACAAGGTGATCAAAAACAGATTCAAAACACTAATCATCAGCTCCCATATTTCATTAGGCAATATTCAACTGTAAAAATTATTGCACTGTGGACTGACCTTGCATGATATAATTTCCGTATGAAGGACGTTCCCGGACAAGCAACACATAGTCACTGGTATGATAAGAATTCCACAACATGGTATGGGAGATCAATGAGGAGAACATGGTGATTGCAGCAATTTTGATGGTGTGTTTGGAAGCAAAGAAAGATCTGAAAGCTTCAGTTGTGATGAAGCCATATCTGTGCATATAATTGAGCATCTCCAGGATGTTTGTTTGTAACATCAGACCTCGTTTGATAAATGACTTGTCATCTCCGATCTTGATCTCTATTGGTCCGATACTGTGGAAGACTTCTATCAAAGATTCAGAAACACCCTGGAAGCTCAATCCCTTCAATCTCTCATCATATTTTCTTGCAATTTTTTGCACAAGATTCCACACTTCTGGAGGAACTTGTTTGGAAATCTCTTCAGGAAGATCTGTCAAATGATGGTTAGAAACTATCTTTTCTTGCTTCATGAGGTTTCCCTTCTCTTCATCAGACAGTTTTTTACTTGCATTCTTGATCCCAATTCAAGCAGATCAGATGTTTGGATAACTTGATCAAGGGGGCCCATCAATTCACCTGTGTCAATTAAATTCTTCGGCTTCAAGCCGAAGAAAAAACCGGCAACATCTTCCGCTTGAAGCCGAAGCTTCTGCTGGGCTGGGTGAGCTGCTCTGAGCTGGCTCACCCAGCAGACTAGATTTCCAAAATCAAAACCAGAGACAAAGTCTCTGTAGTTCAATGGTTTGCACTGGCCCCAGAATCTGCCCACCCATTAGGTTGTGGGTTCAAATCCCACTGGCCCCATCCCCTAATGGGGGTTAGGGGGCAGGTTAGGGGGCTCCTGTTATTTGCCGCAGGTTTTTGGGGGTTAGGGTTAG